CTCAGTGTTATTGACTTTGTGTAGTCAGCTTGTGATTCTTTTTATGCTCAAAGTTTGCACAGTTAGTCAGTGCCAAAATTAAAAAAAATTCTGTTGGTGGCAAGAATTCCTACAAACACACACCCTTGCTTTTTCAAATAGTTCAAAAATGCATCTTTGGTTGATGTTACAGTCCTTCCTAAATGATCGCTTCAGTATGACTTTTGCATTGATTTACCAGGTTACTATGACAAGGGTATTGAGGGAGACTGGCGCTGGTCTGACTGCGAACTCCCCAATGCTTGGCAAGCGATCAACTGGGCACCAGACGCACCCAATGATCCTCTAGGCAACCAGGACTGTGCTGAGCTGACCCCTGATCTCCTCTGGGATGACCAGCCATGCAATGGCAATGTCATAAATGGATACGTCTGTGAAATCTACACCAAAGGTAGGAGTTTGCATCTCAGCATCGAGCTGCTGAAATTCTGTTAGAACAACATGCAAATGTCAAAGTGTTTGGAAAACAAATCAGAGCATTAGGAGTTGCACTCAAGGTTGTATTTACTTTTGTGTATGCTTAGATGTGAATAGAGATGCTGTAGAGTACCGAAGTGTTGAGCAAACAAATGGAGTACGTGCGTGTGTTGGTTCGCTCGCCGATTCTCGCTCTAATGCCTTTTAGTCACACAATTATGCATGTGACGTAGTCACTTTGGCACTCTATAGGACAACAAAAGCTGCACATCATCCTTTGACAACTTGAGAGCAGACCCAATTAGATTTTACATGCAAGAGGGACAGCACTCTGTATTTTTACAGGTAGAACTTTGTTGCATTTACATCACCATGCTGTAATATTCTATCATATACATGGAAAAATGAATCAAATCCTCATTTCTTCATGTAACTACATGTGACGGGACCTCTTGTTTCCTTCATACAAATGGCGAAGGGAAACAACACCTGCTGCCGTCTATCACGGCAGACCACTGCGTTCATTGTGCAAGCCTGCTCAATGTTCAAACCACCTTCAATATTTTGGCCTCATTAAACTAAATGAAGATATAACAAGCTTAAGTGTTTGCTATTAAGACATCCTCAGTAAGAAGCAGAGGAAGATGCAAAGGAGCAAATCAAGAACCTTCATGGTCTTTTCATATTATTTGTCACCAGGCTACAATGATACTGACCAGAATCCCACAGAGATCACTGGCGAGGCTCTCACGGCCACGAGGGTTTCCCTCACCTGGACCATCAGCATACGTTTTGTATGTGATGTCCTGGGCTATAAAATTGAGTACTCATTCGATGATCAGGAGCCAAAGGTCAGTAGTAATATGTTCTGGATAATCTTGTCTGGAGTGAATTGAGGTGTATTACACAGACAACTATGCGCCGATCATCTGTGTTTTAGTTGAGACCTCTTAAGCGGTGACCATCACAAAACCCACAAGACTGACACCTGAACTCTAGTCTGAATGCAAGTCCCAAGCAGTGTTGTACTTGAGCCCATCACAAGTCTTTTCACAATTCCAGTCACAAGCAACAGGTTGAACAGTTGAACCTTGACCTAAGAGTGAATGTCTTGTGATGGACTTACAGGAACTTGTGATGGACTCTAATACAACACTTCTGGTCCCAAGCTATTTAAATGAACTGCACTTAAGCCATTCCTTGTCATATGCTCACCCTACTGCTTGTGATTGGTCTTGTTCTACAGGTCTTCTTCTCTCAGGTCTCAACTACAGCACTGCTGATAATCGGAGTTGAATTCTTATTTTCACATTCAATTCGTCATTGCATCAATTTTATGTACTGCTTGGAGTTCTTTTCCATTGATAGTCGGTGCCTTAACTTTAAACCCACACTCAAGTTTCTGCAGACTGAAATTTGCCTTTTTCCTTCCTCTGTAGATCCAGCGTGTGGATGGAGCAAGCACAGGCCGTGCAGTGGTAGAGGGTCTCGTACCCAACAAGAATTACACCTTCTTGATCTCTGCTTACTCATCGCTGGGTGACGTAACGCCAACAGCCTCTGTTAGTGTGGTCACTCCTGATGGAGGTAAAATCCATATCTTATCATCGCTGTGATTGCTTTGGAGGTCAAAGGAGGAAAATATGAAAAGCTAGAAATATAGCTTCCAAGATTCCACCAGTTCATTGAGGAAAAATAAAATAATGTGGTTATGGATACCGGGATAAAGAGACTTACAGATTACACAAACACTGGCACTTTCAGAAGCCATTCTAGCAACTTCTTGCATACATGTTTACAGATACAATTCACTGCAATTAATCGTCATTGAACTTTCTGAATTATTTGTAACCCATTACTATAGCTTACCATTATGCTCACTCAAGCTGAACAGAACTCTACTAAAATTTAATTTGCCATTTAACTATTATTATTAAGTTATTTTCTGTCTGGATTTGCCTTGTTAGAGCATCTTGATTTTTTTCCTTCATAAGCACGATTTTTTAGTCATAGCTGGAATATAGAAAGTAGGTTTAGTTCAACTGGACTGCACCAAAAAATACTAGTTTCACATCGATTAAATGAGAGAGCTACTCCAATGTGGGCAAATTATGGTATGAATTAAACTTTTCCATGTAACATCCCTGTTTGTTTTCCTTTCAGATCTCTGTCCCCAAGGCTACCAGGAGGGCTACGACTACGGATGCTACAAGTTTGTCACCAGTGTGAAACCCTGGAATGAGTCCAGGAGAGATTGCCAGTCCACCGAAGACGGCGATTTATTGATCATTGATAGTCAAGCCGAGCTTGATTTCATTACCCAGGCGAAGGAGAACATCTCTGGCACTTGGTGGATCGGTAAGTCCATGAAGATAAAAGACTGCACTGATTCATTGTTATTGTTTTCTAGTGACACAACCCAAAAGAAGAAGGGGCTTTTGTAGGCTTTTATCATGATGCTGCCATGTTTGTCTTGTTCCCTATAGACCTAAAGACATTAGTAATACAATGTCACATATTGATGAAAGCGAGCAGACTTTTTTCCTCCCAGCCGCCGTTTGATTACATCGCTTTGCATGGTCAAAATGCAATATGGCTGCCTCATAATAGAGGTCTGTAGGAGACCAGCGTGTGCTACCCCACGCGTGTGCCTCTGTGGAGAACCATTGCACTAAGCATTAAGAAGCATTAAGAAGCAAAGAGTTTGAGAAAGGGGGAGCTGGTAGAGTTTAGCCTTAACGATCAGACCAAATTATCAAATTGGATTGAAGCCACTTTTCAAGCACTCCAAGTCAGGTGGAATTTGCCCACTGCTGAATGGTGGCACTGTGACCTTACCAATAAAGAGCCTGCTTATTGGATATCATCTTACCCATTCTACAATGGGGAGACTGCAGGGAGAATGTTGCCGTTTTGTTGTATTTTACCATTTTCAAGTTGGAGGTGCCCTCTGAATCAATTTTAAGTTTGAATGAGTGTCGGCAGACACAAAATAATCATTAAATTGTGTGGGGAATTCGGAAATAACCAGTTGTTAATTGAATGTACCGGTATGCACAAATCAGTGCACTATAGATATCGTTCAGACTTGTGAAGTTGCCAAAGCTGTGAACGGTGAAGGTGACAAAGGGCATAGGCCACTTTCAAGTGGTTTATGCCTAGAAACCTGACATACGATGATTCAAAAAGTTAGCTGTTCTAAAAAATAATGAGAAAATATCTTTTTATTCTATGGTTCAGGTTTCTCTGACAGTGCTGAGGAAGGGCAGTGGCGATGGGTAGATTGCTCTGCTCCCTCTGGCCTGAATGGTACCTACTGGGCTGATGGCCAACCCAGCGATACCACGGGAACGGAAAACTGTGCTGAGCTCACGCAAGACAGCAAGTTCAATGACCTGGCCTGCACCAGCCAGCTGATGTACGTCTGTGAAATCACTCGCAAAGGTCAGAGAAATACGCCAATATGTCGGTATATGCACTACACATGTTGCAAGGCTTGGCTTTACAAGCTATTACAGGTGCGCCCTATAGAAGTGGCTGTCCCTTGATTTGTGACCAAGCTAGGCAGTCTCTTCAATAGTAGTTCTCAAACAGAGCCATTAATGCATCATATATACTCTGTCTTCTTATTTTAGAGTTCTTCCCAAGTGAGGTCGACCCAACAAACTTCCTTGGCGTGTCCACAACTTCAGAATCAGTGCTGCTACGCTGGACTGTATCAGACTACAACTGTGACATTCAAGGGTACAAGATTCAGTACAGAATGAATCAGGGACCAGAACAGCAAGAGGTTGGTCTTATTTGTCAGAGAATATGTTACCCAAAATTGGGAGGGGGGGGGTTGGGATTGAGGGTCATGTTTTTCACTCACATTTATCAACTCGCATAGTTTGCATTTCTGAATATCCAGGTTCTGCCTTTCCTGTTTTTTCTGTGGTTTATTTGCTGGTTGTTTTCTCTTGTTTTGTATCTCAATCATTTTCAACAACGGTAATTTACCAATTTTATTTTATTGAGATGAAAAATCTTTATCCGGTTTCTTAACAGGGAGATGCATTAGATTCCCAATTTCATTTTGCATTATTCTTTTTTTTCCTTCCTGCACAGATTGTACCTGGGTCCAACACAAACAATGTGAATATAACAGGACTCATGGCCACGACTGAGTATGCCTTCAAGTTGCTGGCATACACTGAGTTTGGTGACCGTGGGGTCGCTGGAATCACTAATGTTACCACACAAGAGGATCCCAGTAAGTACATCTCACAATCTATATGCCTGGACCCCTTGCTGGATTAATGGATTATTGACCACTAGCACCTAATTTGATGGCTTCCTTGTGTTCAGTGGTATCCATCGTCCTCCCCAAACTTTTGAAACCTCTAATGGTTGTTGGATTGTCATATTTCGAGAAGTTTGCTAAATTCGATTTTCCCTTCTGTGATCCATGGGCAGGTTTGGGTCAAGCCTCCCATTCAACAAATTGGATTAATGCCCATCCTGGTCCAAATTTCAAGCTTAGTCCAGTTAACTGAAAGCTTCATTCTAAGGAATCTCTGACTGATTTTTGTGATTTAAAGATGCCTGTCCTGAGGATGGCTGGGAAGTTGGGCACGGTGGCAAATGCTACAAGTTTGTGCGGCAGCTGGAGACATGGTATGATGCCCGCGCAGTCTGCAAGCAGGATGCTGATGGGGACCTCGTCATCATTGAGACGCAGGAGGAGAACTTGTACATCCAGGATAGAGTGCAGGATGGCGATTGGTGGATAGGTGAGCTGTCAACTATCCACATATTTGTGTCTTTTATTTGTAGATTTTTGTCTGATCT